AGTATAAATCTGGGAAGTTTATTTGTCTAAGGAGACGCTGCCCAAATTTTTACTAATTCAGGAAGTTAGACAAAATTTGACTTTCTAAAGTTGAGGGTTATTTCAGTTTTCATATTTGAGCGAATATAAATTCTGAAAAGACACTCTTCCTACGGGTAGCGCTGTCAAAATTTTCTTAGTTTAGAGGAGATAAATTATATTTTGATAGGTAGCGATTCTAACAATCCACTCTGAATAAGGGAGACTTTGGCAAAAGACTACCTTTTCTTTAGACTTTGGCTTAGGGGTAGACTTAGACTTAGTTGGCAGTTAGCTTTGAGTAGGAATGTGCCATGGGAATTCAGTCCCCATACACTAATATTTAGCCTTGGGCATCGACCTGTCTTGAGCTATAGGTCCTTTTAATCGTTCTGATTCACAATTTGGACTAGTTTCAACTTGATCCCACGAGTATCATCTTTTGTTATCAATGATAACAGATTGGTTGCCGATTCGTCCGTTTACGACTCAACTCCAATCCACTCTTGTTACCCAACCTGAAGGCTTTAGCCCTGGTGGTTTTAATTGTTTTATTAAGGTTTTCATCTGAACTTTTATTGAATGGTCATTTAACAAAGGTACTGAGTATTTATTTTAGATGGTTGGACAAAGGTTGAGGCTTGCATGGCTAAAGCAAGGGGTGCGAATATAGAGAATGGTTGAAGTTGATCAGGTGTAGTGTTTGGACTTTTGGTTGAATCTTTGACGTGATTGCAGGCACGTTTGTGGTTCGGACTTTTGGATTCGACTACCTGTGATCACATACATATATATGGTTGAGAAGAGTCTCACTGTGACTGTGAGAAGTGATTGTCACATATTTATAACCCTTTATATATATGTGTGTACGTACGTACACATTGAGTATTCGCGCGGCCTACTGTGACCGTGCGTAAAGGTTAAACAGAGTTTGCTTTGAGAGAAAAAGGAGATCCCCCTTTTATCCATTTGTCTTTTAAAGTATTTATAGTTGGACGTTGTAGTCTGTGGCAACCTTCAAAGTCAAACCCCTTGAGTTCACTCCAGGCCCTGGATGATGGAGCTGGTCTCTAGGGCAATAAGACACGATTGTCACCACAGGTATAAACCTGTGTACCACCCACTCTCCACAAGGTGCAGAAGAGGGTGTGGTTCTCAACCACGCTCGGCGGTTGTCTAGCGTCGAGAGATTACCCGCTCAAGGCGCGTGTTTCAGCCGTCACTTGAGTGTCGAACGAGAGCCTCGAGATTAGAGAGGACGACATAAGTATGGGTACTGCATAGTACACCATCATTGTGACTGCTTGTGTAAGCATGCATTGCTAGTCGATATGAGAAGACCCAAGTCTCGCGCGCGACGCCTATCTGATTTCCGAGTCGAAAGGTTATTGGTTGGATACAAAAGAGATTAGGAGTGTTGTTGTGTTATTTTGTGTAGTATCGTTCCGTGTGTGTGTGTGTGTTTTATTTTCATGTTTTAAGCGTGGTGTAACGCGTGGTGAGTGGGATGCATCCTAGTCGACCGGCGAGGAATCGCGCTTGGGACTTCAGCCCCCCAGTGCGTCGGTTCGTGTGCGGGCCCGATAAAGGCGTGGGACCGCGCGTACCCCCTATGCTACAGCGAACGAGAAACGCCCTCGGCTGGTCCACCTTTGCGATTGCAACTGATTAGCTTTCGTACTGTGGACTGGTAGCTCGGCAGGGATACGCTCACCGAAGGGAGGTGACAACTCTCGTGGGTGGAGGTAAGTTGTACCTTGTGTTGGCCCTATCCTTTCGGAGGGGCTCGCGAGCGGTATGGCTGGCGCACTCGGCCAGAGTGGCTTGCGGAAGCTCCTTGTGTATCGTGAGCAGTCCAACTCCTGCGTGACCCGCACTTCCGCCCCCGCTCTCACCCCCGCACCCACCCCTGCCCCGTTATTTCACCCCCACGCCGACCCCCAACCTCGCCATTTCAGCCCCGCGCCGACACCCCCCCCTCGCCCCAAGCGCTCGTCCACCCCCTCCCCCGGCCTCCGCCCCGCAACCCCACCCCCCCCACCACTCATCCCCTCCTCCGCTGACTTTTGGTCCCGCCCCCGGCCCCGCACCCGTGGCTACCTCGGTCCCCCCACTGGGCGCCGGTGGGGGCACGGGTGGGGCACACAACCCCATTTTTGGGGTTTGGCCCATGGGGTGTGTGCTCTCATTGTGCATCCCCCACTTTTTTTTTTCTTTTTTTTTTCTCGGTGGGTTCGGGGACGGGGTCGAGGGTGCCCACCCTCGGAACCCCGCCCCCCCGCCGGGGCCCCGGGGCCGAGGCTCGACAACCCTGACCAGTAGCTCGGTTGATACGCCCCTAAGGATGGTGATAACCACTTTGGGAAGGTAAGTTGTGCCCCGTGAAAACCAATCCTGGCGTAGGGGACCGCGGGAAGCACGCCTGGCGCACCCGGCTAGAGTGGCGAAGGGGCGACGCAACTGCGCCTGTCTTGGCGGTTTGCGGGATTACTTTTGCGTCTCTTGCCTTTTACGGAAAAGGCAGGAGCCGATGCGCTCCACACCATGATCATGACTCCAAACAAAAAATATGAGGCCACCCATAAACATGCCTTCATCAAAAGACAGCCCATGCTCTACAGCAGGGCAAATAATTACGCCATGTATGAATAAAGAACCACCAACAACTTGTCCGACCAAAAAAAGGAATAGCTCGCTAGTACGAGCCCGATCCTAGCCGCTCAAATCTGCCAAGACAGAGAGCTAGCAAGATCGGAATGTGTGTTAGTCAACATACCCAAACTCTCTCGCTCCATCGCGTGTGCGTGTGTGTGGGTGCATGCACGCACAGACACACAAACACACGCACACACACATGCACACACGCACATACACACATGCACACACATGCACACACACATGCATGCATGCACACACGTGCGGTGGGGTGGGGGATTGGGGGGGGGAGGACTGTTCAGGGGTAGTGGGGGGTTGTGT